AATGCATGTAAAATCTTTTGTTTGGTCAAAGTGTTTTAGTTTTTTTGCCCATGGATGTCAGTGGATTGGACATCCCTGACTTAAGGTACATGTCAATATTGTTGGAATTGTACTCTTGACGTTTCTAAATATGTTGATGTCAGTGGAATGGATTTCCCTGACGTTGTTAATATATGTTTGTGAGTAAAAATGGTTGTAAGTTTGTTTTGGTAGTTTTTTCACTATGCGATAGATCAGCTTTTATGCTGACCAGAATTCATTTCTTTAGTGATGTTTGAGGATTGATGGATTTTACCTCAAAAGGGGGCAAGGTCTGTCTTTGGAAATATGTCATGAGCTTAGCGCGCCTAATACTTAGCTTGTCCGAAGCTGAGTCTGCGTGGTGCAACAATGTCTTGAACTTAATTTTATTTCCACGAATGTGGATTTTGTCTGAGTATTTTTAGACTGATGACAGTTTCGCTTGTCTGACACGCCTATCTTCCATTGGAAGACGTGGATTAGCTGAAACAGTCGGCCTTTGTTTTTGTGTTGATTCCGACAGTGCTTCGTCTGTCTTCGTCTTGGATATCGTGTGTGTTGTTGGTGTTTTCTTTTCGTTTGTTCTAGGGAACAACAAACAGCACTGTAGCTGATCGTGAATTGACGCCATGGTCTCTTCGATCAGTTGATGATCTGGTATTGGAAGAAAGAAATCGTTCCGAAGAGACACCTTGGGACGGTTGATGGATTCTGAGCTGGTGATGTTGACTGGTTGAGGATAGATGGGAGCTTTGCCCATGGAGACGTCTATGGAGTATTGCTGAAATCAGCGTTGGCGATGTTTATGGATATGAATAGACTGTTTATTTATGATGAACGAAGCGTTGGAGGGACAACCGTTTTTTTTTGAGAATCACCCAGAGTTGGAGCAATTCTATTCTACTTTCAATCTTGAACGACTTCAAGCTGGAAGATACTTTTGAGAATCAGTTGATTTCTCAGAGACAGTTATATTTTTTGGAAACTTCGTGTATTTCAGAAGAGTTTAGACTTCATTTACGCTGGTGGATGAATAACATCTACAAGCACTTCAACAAAGTCTTCAACATTATTTCGAAGATGTGCTGAACTGATGGAATATCGAAGTCTATTGGCGAATACAACGTCTTCTACACCTCTGACATTGAAGGTATGTCGAAGTTCATGCTGGATGTGAATTTTAGTATGTATGTAAAGAGAGAGATGAATGTCATGGCCTTGTTCCTCCTGCTGCCACGCATCAACTTTACACTGCTTGGGAAGCTGTAGGTGTGGATGTCTCAGAATGGCTGGTCCCCAATGTCAGCATCAAAATCAAGTTCATGCTGATGGTGGATCTTGCAACACGACTTCGAGCAGTTCACATCATCAAATCCTTCAAGGCTCTCGAGATGAAGAGTGAAAGCTCTGCCGATATCATCAAGGGCCTCTCTGAAAGATGGCTGATGGACAAGCCCAAGCCGTCCATCATCATTCCTGACAATGGCTCGACATTGGTGAGCCGTGATGTGAGCAGCTTCTTGGCCGACATTGGTGTCCAGATGACACCTCCTGCAGAGAAGGAAAGCTGGGCTCATGGCCAAATTGAATCGGCCATCAAAGACCTCAAGATGACAGCTAGCGCCATACAACTTGGAAGTCCAACTCAAGATCCGTGGATCACTTTGCAACTTGCTGCAGCTGCGCTGAACTCCACGGAGTATGTCAAGGGCTTCTCATCTTTTCAATGGTGCTATGGCAAAAACTACTCCATCACTGATGAGGAAGTGCGGACTTTTGCGTCTCTTCCTGAACTACCAAGTGATGACTACGCCAGACTAGTGCGTCAACGTCAGGATGCTGAAGAGGTGGCCAGAAAGACACGGGCCTTGCGTGTCATGTCCAAACTTCAAAACAGTGTTGTTCGACAACCCATTCGAACATTCCACCCCATGCAGCTTGTGATGGTGTGGAGAAAGATGTGGCCATCTCACATCTATGCAGGCAAGCGTCATGGCATGCACAAGTCAGTGAAACCTCACTGGATAGGACCTGGAAGAGTTATATTCCATGAGGTGCTGAATCATCAACACCACGAAGACCACAGGCGCCATATCGTCTGGGTACTGATGCACAACCAGCTTCTTCGCTGCAGTGTCCACAGCGTTAGACCTACAACAGCCTTGGAGCAAACAGAGTTTGAGGTGAACAACAAAGAAGATGTATCGCGCTGGCGATCACTGTCCGACATTCTCCCCAACAAGGAGTATATTGACTTGGCTGACAGTGAACCTCACCCTGAAGAGCGTGAGGAACCTGACCTGCCAGATGCTCCTGACAAGAACACTGTGTCAGTGCCTGCGAGACGTCTTCATGGAAAACACAAACTTGGGCCAGAAGATTTGCGCGATGTCCCAAGGGCTGAGGCACGACCTATGCCTGAGCCAGCCAATCTTGAACCTCCGATGGGCAGTGGTGATGTGGTACCAGATTTGCCATACTCACCATCTGTCGCTGATTCCGATCCTGAGCTCATTCCTGATGTGTCTGGAGCTCCAGCTGATGATGCACCCATCAATGAATATGAATCCACGTCCAAGAAACCTCGAGACATGGACTCTGACCTCAAATGGATTGAACAACTCCAAGAACCAGAAGCTGACCTACAAGCGTGCTTCATGGAATGCTCTGATGTGATGACCATTGAGTTTGATTTGATGTTTTCCTCAAATCGTCAAATCAAGAACTTCATCAGCGACCCTTCTGCATTCATGGTGAAGAAGATGCGCGATAGCGAAGTAGTCCTGTCCAAGCTCTCCAAGGAGCACAAGGAGCTGTTTGCCCGTGCCAAACAAAAGGAGGTGAACAGCTTTGTGAAAGCCCAGGCTGTTCGCAAAGCCTTGGATGAAAAAGAACTACGTGAAGCATTTGGATCCAACAGGATCATGCGTGCCAGATGGGTTCTCACATGGAAACTCACTCCTCCCGAGGACCTGCCCACAGCACAAGCAGAAGCGAGATCTTCACCAACAACTACAACATACACCAAAGAGGGAGATCGCAAAGCCAAGGCGAGAATCGTCCTGCTTGGCTATGAACACCCAGACTTGCTTCGACCAGAATTTCGAACGGCAAGTCCAGTGTGCTCCACTCTTGGTCGCAATCTTCTCTACACTTTGACATGCGTACATGACTGGGAAATGCAGGGTTTAGACCTCGCAACAGCCTTTCTCCAAACACAGCCAACAGCTGCAGACCAAGACCTATGGACCCGAGGAGTCACTGAGCTGCGCGAGGCCATTGGTGTTCCACATGACTCCATCATGAAGGTGCTAAAGAATGTGTACGGCAGTACCACTGCTCCCAGGGGTCTGTGGTTAGATCTTCACCGACGTCTAGCTTCCATCGGTGGCAAAGCCTTGGTTGGTGAGAGATGCATTTGGATCTGGACCTCTGAAACTGAGAAGGACAGCCAGGGTCTGCCCAAACTTCTAGGCGCCATGGGTGGTCATGTAGATGATTTCCATAGATGCGGAAATCCACATTCCAGTGAATGGCGTGCCATATGTGAGAAGATAGACAACTTGTATGAATGGGGAACAATAAAAGAAAAACAATATAGACATGCAGGAACAGATGTTCAGGTCACATATCAAAATAACTCAACCTCAATCACTGTGAGCCAAGACTACTATGCAGAGATGATTGGTGATATTGAAATTGAGCCTGACCGTCTTCGTCAAGAAGATGCCATGTTGACCGTGAATGAGATCGCTACATGTCGCGCAACCTTAGGTCATCTTCAGTGGCTTGCTGTGCAGACGCAACCTCAATTGTCTGCGCGTTGCAACCTTCTGACCTCAGAACTAGCAAGCAAGAAGAACATGGTAGTTGTTCGTGAACTTCAGCAAATGGTAGCTGAAATACGCAAGGAATCCTTCAAGCTCCATTTCAAAAAGCCTGACAAGGTGAAGTCCTGGCGAGATGTGGTTTTTGTGACTTTTTGTGACCAAGCTCATACAAATCGTCCCAAACTGGATTCAACGGGCGGCATTTTCTCTGTAGCTTCCGGCCCTGATGCCACTGAGGGCAAAGTAGCATACATGGCTCCTTTAGCATGGCGTTGCTGGAAATTGAGAAGAAAAGCCATTTCATCAAATGACGCGGAAGTTCAAGCAGTTTTGGAAGGAGAAGATCAAAATTTCAGAATCCGCACTTTGTGGTGCGAAATGAATGGATGTGTCTTCGACAAACAAACCCATTTCTGCCGTGAATGGACCATTCAAGGTGAAGAATTAGCTAGAAAGATCAAGGGCATTGTAGCAACAGATTCTCGTGGCGGATATGATGCTGTTTTGCTGAATGAGTCGCCCATGTTAGGCCTCTCCAACACCCGCTCAGCACTTCAAGCTCTACAAGTACGTGAGTCCTTGCTGAGAGCTGCCACAGAACTGCGCTGGGTCGCCTCTGATTACGACCTAGGTGATGCCCTAACAAAGAAGAAGCAAGAAAGTAGAGTAGGATTAGTGAAATTCCTGCGTACCGGCCTGTGGAGTGTGGCATTTGATCCCACATTCACTTCAGCCCGAAAGAGCCATGAACAAGGCCAATCGGCTGTCAAGGTCGTGGATCAACAATTGAAGAAGGGTTTTTTATCCATGCAGTTTCATGACATGCATGAGCTGTCTGAGCATGACATTCAACTTGATTCACACATGTCACTTGTTGATCCGTGGACATTTGTATCAGGGGCCCCTTGAGAAGGCCAGATAGGCAGTGGATCCTTGCCGCGCCATTGGAGCGCTTTTGGCACCAGAGCAAAAGGCGCTCTTCCGTTTGTCGTGCAGCTGAGAACTTTCTTCGATTGAACCCTTCAACATCATCTCTACTTCCTGTTTGAGCCCAATCTGCGCTACCCCGCTGCAGTATCATCATTGGGGCCCCCTATAAATTCTATGGATCATTTGCTGTCAATTCCTGTCCCTGGTCGGGTGCCGAGGTGGATTTGCACTCCCAAATGCAGCGTGGGTGGTCATCATGACATGGAGCTCACAGAGGTTGATCCCTACAGATGCTCTGCAGAGCAAGTCGCTGGTAGTTTGGAAACATAAAAAAACTGCTTCTGTTTGCCTTCTGTGATGTTTCAGTTGGCTGCACGAGGAAAACACAGTTTCGACTGAATCAGTGCTACTCACGTGTTCAATTTAGTCTGA